AAAAAAAAAAAAAAAAAAAAAAAAAATATATATATATATATATATATATAGAGATAGAGACAAAGAAAAGGTAGAAACAAAGAAGGAACTGACTCATCCTACCGACCTCATGCAACAAGCATCGGTGTTTTGCAGGACAGTATTGCCTCCTGACTTTTTCATTGCTTTTTTAAGAGTGGTGTAATCATTTTGACTCACAATTTTAAGACATTTTTATGGTGGAAAATTTCAAGGCATACAGAAGTAAAGCGAATAGCCTAGCCGGGCATGGTGGTGCATGCCTGTAGTTTCAGCTACTTGGAAGGCTGAGGTGGAAGGATCACTGGAGTCCAGCAGGTCGAGGCTGCAGTGGCCAGAAGCGGCCACTGCACTCCAGTCTGGGTGACAGAGTGAGACTCCAACTCAAAAAAAAAAAAAAAGCCGGGCTCGGTGGCTCAGCCTGTAATCCCGCGCCTTTGGGAGGCTGAGGTGAGTGGATTGCCTGAGCCCGCGGGTTCGAGACCCGCCTGGGTAACTTGGCGAGACCTCATCTCTACAATAAATCGAAAATCAGCCGGGCGTGGTAGCACGTGCCTGTAGTTCCAGCTACTTGGAAGGCTGAGGCAGAGGGATCGCCGGAGCCCAGCAGGTTGAGGCAGCAGTGGCCGGGACCGGCCACTGCACTCCAGTCTGGGCGACAGAGTGAGACTCCAACTCAAAAAAAAACAAAAACCGATAGCCTAATGAACCCCCATGTAGTCACTGCCCTCCTACTCCAGCAATTACCAACTCATTGTCACTCTTGTTTCCTCTCTACCTGCACCTACTTCACCCTCCTCCCCAACATTATTTTGAAGTAAAAACCAGTTATCTTAAGGTTTCACCAGTAAACATTTCAGTATATGTCTTTTTATTTTATTTTGAAGGTGTGGGGTACAGTTCAGGGTTAGGTATACAAATGTTCATTGTGCGGGAACCCTTGCTGATGAGGTGTGCCCCCCCCACCCCCAGTATATGCCTTTAAAGGACAAATGTTCCCTTGTAAAACTGAAAAGGTGAAAAGTCAACATAGAATGACTTCATGGAATAATCTTAACTAAAGTGCAGTCTTTTTTTTTTTAGTTGGAGTCTCACTCCGCCACCCAGGCTGGACCGCACACTCATGGCCACCCCAGCGTCGACCTGCTGGGCTCTGGCAATCCTTCTGCCTCAGCCTTCCAAGGAGCCAGAAAAAGTGCAGCCATTTTAACACTGCCTAGTTCTATCATGTTTTTCTAGCAGTTCTCTTTAATTTACCCTCTAATCACCAGGCAAGGACGGAACCGGTTTCTCAGAGGTAGTTATTGATAGTTGTCTTACAACCCCCTCCCCAGCTTGTTTTGTACTTACTAGCTTTTCTTTTCTTTTTTTTTTGTCGGTGTCTTACTCTGTCTCCCAGGCTGGAGTGCAGTGGCGCTCTCACAGCTACTGCAGCCTCGACCTCCTGGGCTCAGATGATCCTTCCACCTCAGACTTCCAAGTAGCTGGAACCACACACAGGCGCGCACCACCACGCCCGGCTACTTTTTGATTAGTTGTAGAGACGAAGTCTCACAAGTGACCCAACCTGGTATTGAACCCCTGGACTCAGGCTATCCTCTTGGCCTCCACCTTCCAAAGTGCTGGGATTACAGGCATGAGCCACCACACCAGGCCAGGTTAACTTGTTTCTTATGCAAATACTTGGAATAGAAAAGCTAATATGCCATGCGTGGTGGCTCATGCCTATAATCCCAGCACTTTGGGAGGCGGAAGCAAGGGGATTGCCTGAGTACAGGGGTTCAAGAGCTCCTGGATAACTTGGTGAGACCTCATCTCTACAATAAATCAAAAAAATTAGCCGGGTGTGGTGGCACACTAAACTGCAGTTCCAGCTACTTGGAAGGCTGAGGCGGAATGATCACCTGAGCCCAGCAGGTCAAGGCTGCAGTGGTCGTGAGCACGCCACTGCACTCCAGCCTGAGTGACAGAGTAAGATTCTTATTAAAAAAAAAAAAGCATTCAATATCAAGCACCATTTGCCATTGCTTTGCTAAACTCTGGTGTGGCCATGTGGCTCTTCAAGCTTTGGTTGCCATTGTTTTTCCTAGCTTTGGCCCCCCTCCCTTCCTTGGGGAAGTGAATCGGTGAATCTTCTCTCTCTCTCTCTCCAATTTACTTTCTCTCTCTTTCTCTTTTTTTTTTTTTTTGAGTTGGAGTCTCACTCTGTCGCCCAGGCTGGAGTGCAACGGCATACTCATGGCTACTACAGCCTCCTCCACCTGCTGGGCTCAGGTGATCCTTCCACCTCAGCTTTCCAAGTAGCTGGAACTACAGGCGCGCGCTACCATGCCCGGCTAATTTTTTGATTTATTATAGAGATGAGGTCTTGCCAAGTTGCCCGGGCTGGTCTCGAACTCATGAGCATAGCCAGTCCTCTCACCTCGGCCTCCCAAAGTGCTGGAATTATAGGCGTGAGCCACTACGCCTGACCTACTTTCTAAACAAACTATCTTTTCCATTCTAACTTCTGTGCAATTTTTTGCATCTTTTGCATGGCACCAGATTGCAGATACCCCTGGTCTGATCTAACACTATGGAGGCCCCACTGGGATTTTGATCTAACAAAACATGTCTACAAAACTATCACTCCCCCCCAAAAAAAATCAACAATAATTTCCTAATATCAAGTGTGAATTATTGGCCAGGTGCTGAATTAGTGTTTAAATTGCTCTGATTGGCTGGGTGCGGAAGTCCATACCTGTAATCCCAGCACTTTGGGAGGTGGAGGCAAGAGAATTGCCTGAGCTCACAGGTTTGAGACCAGCCTGGGCAACATGGCGAGACCTCATCTATACAATAAATAAAAATATTAGCTGGGTGTGGTAGCGTGTGTCTATGGTTCCAGCTTCTTGGAAAGCTGAGGTGGAAAGATCACCTGAGCCTAGCAGATTGAGGCTGTGGTGACCATAAGCATACCACTGCACTCCAGCCTGGGTGACAGAGGGAGATTTTGACTCAAAATAAAAAAAAAAATGGATAAATAATTAAATTTCTCTGATTGACCTATAAATGTCCTTTTTAAGCTTGGCATGGTGGCTCACGCATGTAAACTCAACACTTTGGAAGTTGGAGACAAGAGGATTGCCTGCGCACAGGTTCGAGACCAGCCTCGGCAATGTGGCGAGACCTCATCTCTACAATAAGTAAAAAAATTAGCTAGGTGTGGTGGCACGTGC